TGATGAGGCCTGTTTGATACTTAAGGGAAGCTCATTTCACTCTGGAAGATCTATCAAAAACTAATGCAGGAAATAGGTGTTGGACACAAATTTCACATTCAGTCTGCATGTTAAACTCAGACTGACTGGTCATTTTCTAAAGTAATAAGTAAAAAAAAAAAAAAAAAGTAAAGATTTCTCAGTGAAGGACCTCTTCAATGTCATGTTGAAGAAAAAGAGGGGGAAATCTGGCAATTATTTCAGAACTACTTTCTAGAGCTGGTGCAGATTATAGAGATTATTGCAGAAGTCAAATGAGACGAATGACAGATATTAAAATCTAACTATTGGTTTGCTTGTACCTGGAATTGTGCATGGTGATTTATTTTGCATCTTGTTGCAAACCTTAGATACTGTTGATGTTGTTTATTGTTTGTATTTCTCGATAAATGTTGTGACTGATGCATTATTATACAGTTATATATACTATATGTTATTAGATTACAGGGAGTGTTGAGTATTTGATGAAGAAAGACGCTGTTAAACACATTAACTACACGTTGTGCTTTATTAGACACAACGTAGCTTTTATTACAGTCCAAATTCATCAGAAACTTTTTTGTGTAAAATGTATTCACAGTGTGAGGAAACTTTAGCAGCATACATCATAATAATAAAGAAGAACAAGAAATAAGATATAGAAACTATTTATAATAAAACTTCCTTTCAAAAAGACTAATAAGTAGTAATGCAGTCATTAGATTGGCAGTAAACATGTGTTTAAACATGGAAATTCATTAAATAGAATGAACAATAGTTTGTGCCAAATAGTGAGCCGGCCTCGGGGTCATATGATTGCTCTATAAGCCACCCAATAATGCTTTATAATGAGTTTGTAAAGAATAAACTATGCAATAAAAGTCTTATTGTGCAGTGTCACCCAAGGTTTAAGAAAAATAACGAAAATAAATCCTAAACACAAAACAGAACCAGCCTGGATCAGAAATATTCTTGGGGTTTTATGTTTCCTTGTTTCAATAAAAAAAATCATCTTATTTTCTCTAAAAACAATGGCATTACAATTAATTTATCCTTTTTCATTTGTTTGTCTTTAATCAAAAGTCCAGCTGGAAAATAACTTTTTTAAAACATCAAATATTCCTGTTTTCTTTCCAATGTGCATTTTTTTCCAAAGAGCAGCATCATTCATATATTTTCCATACAGAATACGATCTTTAACTCCAGTAGGATGTTAGCCAATGAAACAACAGTTTAAAAAATGCACATAACCCACAAGAAGTGGAAGACAATAATTTAAAGCTCTACTTGGTCCTCAGACTGAATCAACTGAGAAAAGTTATGAAGCCACAACATCAAAGCCACTAAATGTTTTTACTTTACAAATATTACTTTAGTAGCTGCTCAGTCTTTTTTTATTTTTATTTATTTTTTGCTTTGCCTGTTTCTTATAAACTGAGTAAAAGTGTGGAAACGGGCCACGCACACAGAGTAACCAGCCCAGCTGTTCTGAAAACACTAGAGCGGGGGTGTCAATCATACGGCCCGCGGGCCGGATCCGGCCCGCAAACGGGTTCGATTCAGCCCGCGAGATGGTTGTGTAAACTTTGATAAACATTGTAGAATGAAAATAAATTCGAATTTTTAAATTAAAAGAACCGCTATTCCCAATACGTCCACAAGATGGTAAAATAGGCATTGTGTTAAGCAAGCAAGCCGTTTATCCTCAGCCAGAGCAAATTCGTCAGTCAAGTGCAACCGGTGTTCTGACGAGCTATTTTGTTTTGCCTCCGAAATCTCATACAGCGTCTACATTTTGTGCTTCAGCCCAAGATGTCTCTGTCAAAAAGGAGAAAAGTGGACACAGAGTGCAGGTTGTTCCAAGAAAAATGGACATCCTCTTATTTTTTCACGGAAGTGAACGGAAAAGCTGTGTGTTTGGTGTGTTCACAGCATGTTGCAGTGCTGAAAGAATTTAATCTCTGTCGCCATTATGTGAGTCTTCATGCCGAAAAATATGACAAATTTGAAGCACAGCGGAGAAGAGAGAAGGTGAATGAACTGTTGGCCGGACTGAAGAAACAGCAGTCTGCGTTTACTCACAGCCAAGATATCAGTGATGCTGCAGTGAAAGCTAGCTACCTGATTGCTAATGAAATTGCAGTCGCTTCAAAACCATTTAGTGAGGGGGAATTTGTAAAAACGTGCATGATGAAGGCAGCGGAGATTGTGTGCCCTGAAAAGCGCCAAGCTTTCGCAAATATCAGCCTGACCAGAGACACAATAGCAGACAGGATTTCCGATATTTCAGCGGATTTGGACTGCCATGTAAGGGAAAAAGTAAAGTCCTTTATTGCTTTTTCAGTTGCTATTGATGAAAGCACGGACATTACAGATGTTGCTCAACTGGCGATTTTCATCCGCGGAGTTGATGACACGTTGACCGTCACCGAGGAGTTTGTTGAGCTGGTGCCCATGACGGATACAACAACAGCAGCTGATATTTTCACCGCACTCGTTGGAGCGCTGGACAGGGTCGGAGTGCAATGGTCCCGCGCTGTAAGCCTCGCTACAGATGGCGCTCCCTCAGTGACTGGGAGAAAATCAGGTGTTGTGACAAAGTTCAGAGAGAAAGTGCAATCTGCAAATGGAGGAGGTGATTTTTGGACTTTTCACTGTATTTTGCACCAGGAGAGTTTGTGTTGCAAGTCATTAAAGATGGATAACGTCATGAAAGTGGTCACCCAAACTGTTAATTTCATCCGATCCAGAAGCCTGAATCACCATCAGTTTGACAGCCTTCTCAGAGAGAACGACCACATCTATAGCCTGCCATACCACACTGAGGTAAGGTGGTTAAGCCGAGGTGCCGTGCTGAGGCGTTTCTTTGATTTACGAGAAGAAATTGAACAGTTCATGGAAGAAAAAGGCAAACCAGTGTTAGAATTTCGTTCTGCAGAATGGGTGCAGGACCTTGCATTTATGGTGGATGTTACAGAGCACCTTAATAACTTGAACAAACAGCTGCAAGGCCGCAACAAAGTTGTCACGCAGTATTACGACAGCATACGTTCTTTCAAGTTAAAGCTGTCTTTGTGGGAGACGCAACTCGCTGTTAATGACGCAGCTCACTTCCCCTGTCTGAAAAAAGTGTGTGCGTCCCAACATGAAGCCGACATGAAGCGGTTCAAAGATAAAATAACGGGACTGTTGAGGGAGTTTGAGCTACGCTTTCAGATTTTTGATGAACTTGAGAAGGACTTCAGAATTTTTTGCTCCCCATTCACCGTGAATCCCTCTGATCTCCCCACCAGCATCCAACTTGAAATAATTGACTTGCAGTGTGACTCGGATTTGAAGGGCACATTTGTTACAGCTGGCTTGGACACATTTTATCAAAACCTTTTACCTGGTTACCCCAACTTGACAGCTCTTGCTGCAAAACTGTTGAGCATGTTTGGAACCACTTATCTTTGTGAGCAAGTTTTTTTCTGTAATGAGTTTAAATAAAACAAAGCTGCGCTCGAGGCTCACACACAAGAACTTGAATCACATCCTGAAGTTAGCTGCCACTCAGGATGTGACTCCTGATATTGATGCTCTGGTGAAAGCTAAAAGATGTCAGGTATCAGGAGTCAAATAAACTTAAAGTGCTGCATGAAACTCTCTGATATAGCCATGTGATCTAGTTCTTTGAATCACTGAGGAATTTAATTTTTTTGTATTTCAAATTTTCTAATATACTTCAGGTGTTTTATTAATAGTGATGTTGTGCTTGTAATATTTTGGATACACTGTCCTCAGGCTCCCGCTTTGTTTTATAGTGGTTGAATTAAAACAAAGAAAACAATCTGAAGTTGTTTTTAATTTACCGGTCCGGCCCACTTGGGACTAGATTTTCCTCAATTTGGCCCCTGAGCTAAAATGAGTTTGACACCCCTGCACTAGAGTCAGGCTTTTTGTGGCTCCTGCTTCTTTTGTTTAGCCAAATGGAATGAGTTTTAGATTAAACTGTTTAGAAACTTAACGCTCTTAGACTTTTGATATGAGAGGTTGTTGCAAACGGGCCGAGGAATAGGAGCTCCTCTTGGAGTGTCAAGGACAGGTCAGATAGAGGCTTAAAAATCCATAAAGCTACAAACCATCCTGGTTCTAAAGGTTCTTTGAGCCTCAACCTGAAGCTGATTTGGTTTAATAATCAATATGTTTTCTGTGAGCATAAGCCACTGTAATCTTTTTACAGCACCTCCTCCAGCTCTCTCCTCTCATCCTCTGCCCTTGCAGCCTTGAGTTCTAACTAAAGGGTCATGATTGCTTCTAGCAGGCTTTGTGGAAACAGGATAAAAAATTGATGTCATGAAAAGTGAAATACCCCTTCTCCTCCTCCCATGCCTGTGAGTTTCTGCAGCACAAGGACTAAGCTGTGAGACCCGCTCTTATAAAAGTGGATTAAGGGAGATGGGTTGCTTCTGCTTGCTATGCTCTCCAAACCCAGCAGGACGTTTCTGATAGGATATGAACTGCAGCTCCTTCCGTTCAACATGAATGGGCTGTCTACCAAACAGAATTGGCTGTTGGGGGTCATGAGGACTGGAGCCAATTTTCTTCTGTCACCGGAACAGAATTAACACAGACACACACACACACACACACACACACACACACACACACACACACACACACACAGAGAAGTGCACACTTACACCCATTTATAGAGCTAAAATCACAGATTACATCATGCTTGTTTTTGAATGAAGCAAACCTGGACCATCAGGATTCAGGAAGATAGCCACTATTTTGTAATCATGATTTAATTGTAATTACATAACATGTATCTCTAAATCCCGGTCTGTAACTGATGCAGAGCTTGGGTCATACACTTGAACAGACCAAGACTGCAGAATTAACCGGTTCCTCTGATTTCAGCTGCTTGACTGACAAGTTTACACTTATGAATTCATTTAGAAGTAACAGTAGTTTCTTTCTATATTCTTCTATTTTAGGGACAACAACTACATTAAGGACTTCCCCCAGCTAGCTGATGGTCTCATGGTCATCCCGCTTCCAGTGGAGGAGCAGTGTCGAGGGATCTTGTCAGAGCCGCTCCCCAACCTGAAACTCCTATCAGGTGAGAAGACTGGGGGGGTATATATATATATATATATATATATATATATATATATATATATATATATATATATATATATATATATATATATTTATATATATATATATATATATATATGTATAATGTCATACACAAATGACATTAGCGGGGAACCATGAGCCAACCGGAAAGGGAGCATTAAACATTGAAACACCTGCAGCTTGTATTCAGGTGTGCCTTATAGTCAGGAGATTACGGTATTCACAATATTAACACATTTTTTATCAATGTACTTCCCAAGCAAGGTACTTTTTGGCAGATAAACTAAAGAAAGTACATAAACACAAAAAGCAACAAATACTCAAATAATAATAAAGGTATTAAAGGAAACTTATTATTATTATTACTTATTTTAATGGTTTGCTGAAGTATCAGATCGGGCCTTGGTATCGGCAGATACTCAAAATCAAATGACTCGGACTTGGATCAGGAGCAAAAAGCACGGTATTGCTGCGTGGAGAAAAACTCTTTTACCAAGTTTGGTTCTTACAAAAAGAACATAAACATCAAACACTTAATAATGTTTGAGAATCTAGACGCTAGCTCCAGGATTTGTCTAGACTTCTTCAGGCTATCTTTAAGGTCTCTGACACTTGACCTGTCATTTTATCCTGTTATTTTTTTCCGCTGAACTTCGTCCCATTAAGAACAAATCCAATCAGGCCTGTCTCACCCACTTCTACTCCCTAATCCCTCATTAGCTAAACTGACATTTTGTCCACATCATGTCCCAAGATATTTTACCAGGGATCTGTCTTCAACCACAATCGGACGATCACAAGTGCACAGAGAATAAATGGCTTTGTTTTTCCATTCCATTTGCTTTGCATGAATGTCTCTGGTGTAAAAGATCAAGGCTCCTTTAAAGAGTTTATTTATTTATTCCCGCCCTTGCTCTTCACTTTTGCAGTTTTAGTTCTAAGCGATGTCAAAGTTTGGTAATTGAATTGCACGGACAGCAGAGATTGCTGGCGCCTCTAATGTCAGCAATCCAATAGGGGTTCAAGCTGCTCCATATAACACCATTGATCCAGCGGCAGCTGGGATACGGGCCGTGATGATAAACGATGTTAAGGCAATAAAAGTTAATGATGGCCATGCGATATGGACGAAAATGAAATAACTTTTATTCGTATTCCTATTTATGATGTGTTTCTGTGTCTCTTTATGACTCACACCTTGTAATCTGTTGGATTTGCTGTGATTTAAACTTTAGTAGATCGCTTTCTGGTGTTTTTGTCTTTCTTAGGTGATGCCCAGTTCAGTGAGGCGGTAGGCTATCCCATGGTCCAACAGTGGAGAGTGCGCAGCAATCTATATAAAGTCAAACTCAGCTCTATTACCTTATCCACAGGTCTGGAAAATACGGTTTGGATTTGGTTATACATCACAAGATGAATTTTAGTCAATAACTGAGAGAAAAGTGATGCTTCTGCTGCTTAAACTGCTGTTTCAATGCACCTTCTTCAAAATATTTAATCTGTTCAAATGCACATCAGCCTCTCTGGGTGTGCATTTATATAAATAATTCTACTCTTCATACTTCTTTAAACAATTTCTACAATTTGTCTGGTGTTTTCCCTCCTCCTCCAGGAAATAAATGTAGTTGTCTTCCATCTCATTCTTGACTCGGTAGACGTTTCTAAGGTGCTGAAAACGCTGTCAGGGGAGAGCACGCGTGACGAGCTCCTGGCTTTTCTCCAGCAGTACGGCAGCCATTATGTGTCTGAGGCTCTCTTCGGCTCCGAGCTCAGCTGCAACATCTTCTTCCCCAGCAAGAAGGCCCAGCAGCAGCTCTGGCTCCAGTACCAGAAAGGTGAGAGGGCGAGCACTCCAAATTTCGGGGGAAATCACGGATGCTGACTTTCAAAAGAATAGGTGCAATTATTTATTTAATAAATAGCAAATGGTTCATACATTAGTTAAGAGGTGGAGTAATGTGATCGTTTCTGGGATTTTACACTCATGCTTACACTGTTTGGCTGTTGTTGTTTGTTGGTTAGCAAGTTAATACAAATAAAAAGATTTTAAAAATCTTGCCAAGTTTCATGGAGCTAGTGGAGACGTGGGTAAAAGAGTGTTTGGGAAGGTTTTGTTTCACATTTTTAACACTTTAACCCTTTATAGGGCCAGCGTCTATATTTAAACACTTCCACAAACATTTTAGATGATGTCAGTGCACCTTTTCAAAACTCTTAGAATTCTGGTATTTTACCCAACCAATCATCAGAGTTCAAGCTAGTCACAGTTCATGCCATGGCACCATTTGACCAATCAGTGCAGGGCTAAATATCGGTGTGCATGCAGAACCAGAAAACTGCTCGGTCTCCTCTCGTGTTTACGGACAGATCTCTGCTAGGTTTATGAAAGTCTCACATCACAAGGTTAATTAGTTGTGCTAAATATGGATGTTGTAAATATTAAACTCATTAAGATTGATGAAATCATAGCATAAAAATCAAAGCTGCCTTATCTGAACATACGCCCGAACAAGTAATAGAAATTATGTGTATGTTGAATTAAAATCTATTGGTTTTCAGACAAATTTTCATAATCATGGTAGTAACAGTAATGATAACAGTTATAACATTGAATATATTTTCTGATTTAAACTAAGATTTCTATAGAAAATGGTGGAAAACAGTTATTGTGCCAGCCAATATTGCCATCAGTGATAATGAAGACATTGAGGCAGATCCTCAAATATATAATATTTAAAAATGATCTAATAATATATATTCAATCAGAACTGGTATCTATTGTTCAATATATTTTCTAAAATATTCCACAGTAGTCTGTTTTCATAAAAATATACTAAATTGTTTAATAATTGTGATATATTCTGTATTATTCTACAGTGATATAATGTTCTAAAATTAATAGACAGTTCTAAAGTGCCTTATAATTATCTATATTATACAAAGGACATGTTTATTTAACTTCATGGTTTATTGGGGGGGTCCTTTACCACACCAGGCCCAGCATCCATGTTTGCTCACTTTGTTTTCTGATTTTCTCCATGAAAACCTGTTTTGAAGATTGAATACTTTTGTTCTATACCACAATAACACCCCGGGGTTGAAATTCTGCACTTTAAACTACTTCAATGAGTGGCCTATAAAGGGTAAATGGTGCAGCTATTTTCAACAATTTAAATGAATAAAATAAAGTCTGCTAGTGTGAATTTTATTTAGAAAAGGTGAATAATGAGAATAAGAGTCTATCACAACAGAATGAACACATTTAGTCATATTTTATTAAAGAAAAGGGACATTTAAAAGTATAAAATGGCTTTTTAAAATATACATTTCATTTAAACTCTATTGTGACATCGAAACGCATTTTATTTCACTCTGTTAATAATGTTACCAATAACATTTTTCATGCTCGGAGTGTCAAACTCTACCAGAATTTCAATCAGTTCTTTTTTTCCAGTAATCTAAATATTAGAATATGTTTTATATTGAATTTTTGTCATTATGATCAGGAGCTTGTACTTTTTTTATTGCCATATTTCTGCTTTTAAGTAGTGAAAGCCCCAAAATGAGCTGATATTGTTTTAAATATTATCACCCGCAGCATAGATGCATGTAAATGGAGCTCAACAGTCAGCAAACTCAGTGTAACAAAATAACTTTATTTAATATAATAGTTGTACAAAGTTGTACTCATACATATGTATTCTTGGTATGAAGAAACACAGCTGTGCATATTCCAATGTTTTGGTTCATAAATATTTATTGCACTCAACTTTATCAACACAAACATGACTTTAAGTACACCGAGACATCCTAATGTACCCAACAGGCAAAAGTCATAGCTTCCGAAGAATTTAGCATGAAGGAAAACGCACCATAATATTTCAGTAGTTTTAAATTAATGACTAACCAGGAAGTCTCTTATGAAACACAATAAAACGTATTCGGCTGATTCACTCCAAGGCTCATCACACTGACACAAGGACACTTGACTTTAGGGGAGATTTAGGCTTTTTTACAGTTGGATTTTTTTTTTCATGACTACAGCTAATGATCACTAAGCAGACATGGTGACGATGGCATGCAGTTGGGGCAGGATTGAATCAAACATGGATTTACTTTTGGTCTCAACATAAAAATATCAAAAATAAATATAAAGCACAAAGGAAATGTCTGTATTCCTATTATCCTTTGTTTTTACTTTGATTCTCACATGTAAATTGTTGCTTTTAGGTAGGAAATGTATGTTTTAAAAGCCAAGTGTGTGTGTGTGTGTGTGTGTGTGTGTGTGTGTGTGTGTGTGTGTGTGTGTGTGTGTGTGTGTGTGTGTGTGTGTGTGTGTGTGTGTGTGTTTGTTTGTTAAGCTCTAACGAGAGACTGGAAGACAGATTTTTGTGTGATTGAATGTTACAAACCCTACTAACATCCTGCTACCAATCTATCTTCCTTTAAATCAGTGAGTATTAGGATACATGTATCCAGTTACATCTAATGAGCCTCGTTTCACTGCAAAAATAGGCTAAATTGAATGAAATTCAGTAGAAAAATACCTCAGATAAATCTGAAGTGCGATACACCTGGTTGCTCTCTGTGCAAATGAAAAATAGTGTTGCAATGCTTAAGTTTCCACTCATTATTCCCAACACTCCTGTCAGCTGGGATCTCCTAGAGATCACGTCGACAGGAACAGGGATACAGTTTGGTTTAATGATCCCAAAAAAACAGACTACACCGTGTCACTGTAGTTATGAGTGCTATGCATTCCTGGATGTTTTTCTGTAAAAAGGGGCAGTGTTGACATCACATCACTCATCACAAGTCTGAAGGAAAAGCAAGGATCCTGCACAATTTCCCAGGTTTTAGATGCACTTGTCTACTAAAAGGATAACAGAGAAGCTAAAACCCAGAAATGTGTAAAAAAAAATTAAATATTGCTTTAATATCACTGGCCACACATGACACAATTGCACTGATGTGTACTCTACTAAATAAACATTTTTGGAGCAGAAACATTTTTTTTTATTCATCCCATGTTCTTTCCATACTTAATAACAGTAAGTAGCCTTAACCAACACTGTTCATGTTGAGCAAAATCTTGTCTTCTAAATTCAGAAGCTTTTCACTTGTAAAGGCGAGTGCTTGTAAGTTCACTGAAGCAGAGCTAAACCAGAAATGAACCAGCCTTTGTAACTTGTAATTACCTTCAGTGTCCATATATATCCTCCTGCTTTAAGCTCCAGAATAGCAACAAAGAAACAGAAATGCAATCGTGATACAGTTGGACCTAAGTTGCCAGGAAACCGTGAGAATTGTTTTAAGAAATGAAAGCTTCCGTTTTTGTAATGAATGCAGTTTTTTTTCTGAAAAGCTGAACTAAAACTAAAATGGAATTTTTAAAGAAACGCATTGCTTTTAGTGACCAAAAAACCCTTAAAAATGTTAAAGAAAATAAATAAAATATAACTGTACCAACGAGGAAACAACATGACCCAAATGTAAAATCAAACCCCCAAACATCTATCACCATGGCTCCATATTTATCACACAGCCCTTCAGGTTATGATTTTACAGTTCAGCACTCGTCTAGAAGGTACTTCCTATTCTGCACGTTCTCTGAATGTTGCCAAATGCAAATGATTGATAATTCATTAGACTTTTGTCATTAAAGACTAACAAAGTAAATGTTTAAAGCTGCCAGCTTCATTATCATTAGTGTGCTACTGAAACCCGTTGATAGGACACAGTGGTGTCGAGAATAAAGTGCTTCACAGGCCAAAAGCCTTAGTGTGCTTTATTTCATATGTAAGTATATTATCAGCCACTGTTTCTTCAGGTTTACTTACTTCACACACATTCAGGCGAAAAGATGGATAAAACAGCCAATTAAAAGGACCTGGTGTCATATTGGTGTTTTCTCCCGTTTTTAAGTCGGAAGCAGTGAGTAACGAGTGAATACGAGTTTACAAATGTGGTGTAACAATGAAAGCCAGGGAGGCAATTGTTTGGATTTAATCTACACTAAAGCTTCCTTTCTCAAAGGTCAATTCTGACCAAACCTACTGAACTTGTTCAGTTCATCTTTTAAGTGGAAGAATGCCTCTTTTGAATGTATGTATAGACTTTAACACAGTGGTCCCAGCAATCTAGTACTAACAGCTGCCCTTTCTGGGTAGTGGCAACCCCCACAGGGCAGTTCAGCCCTTCTCGGATCAGAATATTAAATCCACCTTCTTTGGGAAACTGCAGGATTTCTTTTCTACCACTGTCTGTAACCAGCAAGTCCCCGTTGGCATCCACACACATGCCAGTGATACAGCGGAAGTCCTCGGTCTCTGAGAAGAAATGGCTGAGTTGTTTGCCAAGCTGGCCATTGGTGCCCACTGAACTGATGGAGAAGCCACCCTCCAGGTGGGGTTCATTCTGCCGCTTCTCAAAGTTCAGGGCCAAGCCCTGGGTGAAATATACCGTTCCTGCTGCGTCACACGTCACGAACTTTGGCCGCACAGCAGAGCACAATCGGTTGTAGCTGACGACGCCTACGTTGCGGTCCACAGCGAGACACCACAGCTTGCCCCCTTCCACATCTGACACCACAAACTGACCTGACGGCATGGCAGTAATCCCCCATGGTTTGATCAGTTGGTTTTTGTGGCTAGCTACATAGTGGCCATCCATTGTGTAGACTTTTACAGAGTTATCATAGTTGTCAGTGACACCAATCAGGCCTTGTGGTGTCACAGCAATTGATAAGGGGTTTAGATTTGGCAGGTCAGCCCCAAAGAAGCTCAGGACAAAGTTGTCAATGCTGGCATTACGTCGGATTTCACGTGGGATACCTTTGCGATTAAAAATCTGGACACGGCAATTTCCACGATCAGCCACTAGTACATCACCTTGTGGCGTCACACAGATGCTCACTGGTAAATTAAACATCCCAGGTAGAGCTCCCTTACAGCCCATCTTCTTTACAAATTGGCACACTGGTGGTCCTGAACTTGCTCCAGCAGTTGATCCTCCTCCTTCATCCATGGACTTGGACTTAAAGCTGCCTGGTGAACCACATACCGTCTCCTCTACTGCAGAGACCATGTCGACATCCCTGTAAAGATCCACCGGAACCTTTACAGCACCTCCTGTGGCACCTCCTGGCCCAGATACACTCTCAAATACAGTCTCTGCACCTCCATTGTCTTCCTCTGTATTAATGACGCAAGTGTTTGTGGTTAAATGCCCCACTTCTAGAGGTTTTGATTGCTCTATTCTCACCAGCGCCGGCTCTTGAAGCTGAAACTGTGTGGATAAACTGCCCCTCAGGTCTAGCTCTTCATCGTCACTTCCTGCACCATCATCTTTGAGCAGGGCGACATCACTCTGCCTTACTTGCACAGTCAGATAATCACAGCGTGACACCACTTTTACTTCTGCGAGGTTGAGAAGATACGTTTGTTCCTCCAGGACCTGCGCATTGAGTTTTTCCACTTCTCCCAACGAGGCTGTGAACAGCCTCCGAGATCTGCTGAGCTCCCCTTGAAGATGTTGCTCAGCCGTGTTGTACTCCAGCTGAACTGCCCGATATTTTTGTCTCAAGGTCTTAGAAATATTTTCAATCGCCGTCTTCTTCTTTTGAATTTCACCCATGACATCCCGGAGAGCAGCCAGCTTCCCGCCCAGTTCTTTACGACGCTGCTCAGCAGCCACCTTAATTGGCTGAACTGAATGACCTTCATGCAGGTGGCCCTCACCTTTACACACTTCACAGAGAACGGTAGAACAGTTGTGGCAGTACTGTCTTGGTAGACGGTTGCAGCAGGACTTGCACATTAGTGCAGCAGCAGCAGCACTGCAGGACAAAGTGCAATCTATAATTTTTAGCACAGTTAGATTATCTGCCAGCTGAGAGATGCTGCTCATCCGTGAGACTTTGCTGCAGAAGGGGCAGCGAACGCCATTAATAGTATTAGCCAAGAGTTTCTCGAGACATAGTCGACACACTGTGTGGCCGCACTGCAAAAGTTTAGGTCTCAGGTGGTCCTGATTGTAGGTCTCCAGGCAGATGGGGCATTCAAGAACCTCCCTCATTAGATCTGGGTCCAGTTGGGAGCACGACGCTGCCATTATGGCCTTTTCCTTGAGTGGAGAGAATGGAAAGAAAACAGGAGGGGAGATGTAAATGCAAATGTAAAATAGTTCACAACTAACAAATGCAAGAAACAATGCAAGAATAATCATTGTGTTTCATTTATAGAGCCCTGTAAAATAGAAACAAGTCTGTCTTAGACTTAGATGAAAATGTAGACCTTTTACATTTTCATTGTGGAATTATTAAAAATTTAAAGCACTGAGAAAAACTGAATCTGGAAGGAAAAGAACTATATGAAACAAATTATAATGCATTTCTATGCAATGTATTGAATGTGTAATTTGGGATCTGAATAATCGCAAAATGATTTAGTTGACATAAACAACTAGTACAATTATTTGACACAATGTTTTGCAAGCATGCTCATGTTGAGATCCTTCATGTGAAAAATGCAGACAAAATTGTAGAAGGAATGCTGAAACTTGCATATTTTGTCAATATCTATGAAACCTATATCTAAACAATGTTTATGAATTTAGAAAACAACTTTGAAGTAAGTTTTATTGGAACTTAATTGATTGAAAACGCAAGAAAACGTAAGCGTTGGAAAGTTGAGCCTCATCAACGCAGAGAGCACTTATGCTAGCTCACTTTCGTATGACAACTTTTCAGCAGAAGACAGCCAGGGGTTCAAAAAGACTATTTTGAACAAAAAATTTAAAAACAACATTATAAGCAAATTAACTGTGTTGCACCCTCGGGGACTTCCAACGACTAAATATGTAAACTACGAAACAGCAGATAAAACGAATTCCTGAACATCATCAATCAGCCAAACCTAGTAAATACAACATAAGTTTACTTACGTAAAAGTTCATATGCAAAAAGTTTCTACTTAACCAAAGAAAAGACTTTCTTTACTCCCATGTGAGACACTTCAGAAAAGGGAAATAATTTATTTTTAATTATTTACAGGCAGATTTTTAAGTTCCTTAATAAATTAAACATTTTTTAAACATCGATTTTTATTAAAAATGAGTCAACATTCATGATATTTTGAGTGTTTTTCCATTAAACTGGTAGATAACTAACGTGATGGAATATTTACCTAAATAAACTTGATGCAATTATTATTATTATTTTTCCATAAACAAGCAGCCCTAGTCCCACATTTGCCATGCCTCACAGCTGAGTGTTGTATAAAACTAACAAATTATTACCGCATAGCACAACATCTATAATGAAAAGCTTACTTTGATGATGTTACTTGAGTAAAAACTAATTAAAATGATACATATTTCACATCAGAAGTAGTACATACAAAAACTTAGCAAATATTGGCTGTTGTTTCTGTAAAAGGAAGATTCCAATGAGTTTATGTACATAAAGCTAAAAGCCACAAGTCCTATCAATGGTAGTTTAATAACTGAACGCCAGCCGACTAATCAAGATTAATGATTCAGTATTTATAGTTAAACCTTTTGGTTTTGTATGAGCTGAGGCTGATGGATATATTAAATAAATTTCATCATTTTACCACAGCCAAGATCTAACGTTGCTATGCTAGCACTTTCATGATTGATATTAGCACAGGTAGCTAATAAGTCACGGTGTAAATAAAGGATAAACTCAGCGATAAAAAGGAAATAAACTGAAAACAAGTCGCATCTGGAGTCTGGTTTGAGATGAAATATTGCTGTGAAGTGAAGCTAAATAACGAATAATGTAAGGCTCTCTGAAATCTAACCGATAAACGACGTGATTTAGTCACGCACCAACTGGGCAGGCTTAAATAACGTTCCCACTATTTTGTTGTTAAACACTAATACATTTTGCAGTTTATGCAAAGAGCGATTAAAAACGAGGCCTCTTCACATCACAGCAGTTGTCATGGTGGTACTTAAACGCGACAAATGAATGTATTTTCATTCAATCACGGGGCTAATTATGCATCCATGACTTAAACAAAATGTTCATTTTTAACGTTTCCTTGTAGGCATTTCTGCTACGTATCCTTACCTTTTCTCCGGTGCTTGCTTAGATTACTTTGGGTGTGCAGCCAGCCAGCTACAGTAGCTGCTAGTGAAGAACTGCAGTGTTGACGTTGACGACTCCTCCTACGCAGACGGCGTAAATTACGATGCAAAGCTCCGTTTGTTCTGTCTGATTGGCTGGTGCTGGACACGTGTTTAACGCTATGATGCGTCAATTATGCATATTATTACCAACAGATGG